GACCCACCCTGGGTGTGCGTTTTGTGGGCCACGAGCGAGGCGTGAGTGAGGAACCCTCGAAGATCGTGCAGTTGCAAGTGTAGGTACGTCCCTCGGCCCCAAAGCGTCGCCACTGTTCTCCATAGTGAACTGCGGGCCCAGGTCAATCGTGTCCAGAGGGGTGTTGCCGTGTTGCCATATCTTACGCAGGGCGGGTGCATCAGCATTGACGAACAGGTGCGACACATAACCATCGTGAAATAGAGCGTGCATATCCTCCCCTCACGTGGCCCACCATTCCTCATATTCAGCCAATAGCCCTAACTTGTATACATCCGTGACGAAGCGAACGGCGAACGGGTTAGCGTGCTCAGTCAGGCGACCTTGGGCCAGGGTGGCGGTGCCCTCGAAGCCGAGCTGCCCGAATAAGAGCGCGATGACCTGGGCGTGGGCCCGGGGCCACTTGACGATTTCCTGGTACCACCTCAAACGTTGGATCAAAAGATCCACCGTGGTCGGAACGATCATGATCCATCTCCAGACCTGCCTCGAGGTCCATGACTTGGGGTGATCCCCAGTTCGGTCACACATGGCCCCCGCCGTGATCCACCTTATCTTCCCCAACAGCGCGACATCGAGTTGGGCTTGTTGGGTTTCGGTGAGGAGATACGGAGTGAGTTCAGACAGTCGCGCACCTTAAACTACAGATATTAATACTCACCTCTTCACCTTAAATGGGGTCCCCGAGGTCCACAGATACCTGAACGTAAGCCATCCCCTGCTGGCCGCCTGTTTGCTGATTAGCAGCTGGGGGGAAAAACTCCAGAGGGCAAACACTGCGGCCCCAGGTACCGCGTATGCGGGGCTACTCTGGCCCCTCCAGCCTCAGCGGAGTAAAAAAACGGTTGGCGTTGTAGCCGCAGAGGCGAGGGACCAGCATTTGTTTTTTGGTGTTCTGTTTGTAAACAAGACGACCCAGGGCATTGCCTAGAATTCATTGCGACACTTTTGTCGCCTGAACAGCTTCGTCGTGGGAGCCCTCGCGAAGCAGCAAAAATTACGCCAGATCATCCACATACTGAAACAGACCAGCCTGGACCTCCTGGGAGAAGATGGGGCACGTGGCAACGAGGGCGGGATCGAAACTTTGCTCCATCCATTCTCCCAGGGGTCTGGCGAAGTCTTCGCGAAACTCGTCTGGGGCACTGGGGTCTCACATTAAGGCCCCGCTCGTGAGATACAGGGTGGTGGGACGATCAACGCCGTCCAAATGCAACTGGTGAGTCGTGCGCCTGTCTTTGAGAAGGTCTGCATCTGTCCACGGGAGAACGTCGAGCAGACTCCGAATCATGCGAGCGTGATTGCAACAAACGAAAGCTTTCTTCATGCCGCCGAACACAGCAATGTGCCACACGCGTGCGCTGTGCAGCCGTTCTGACAATACGTGCGTACCCAAGCGGGCGCTCCGCGCGGCACAGAATTGCAAATCCCTCCAGCGACGGCGCGGAAGAGGGGGCAGAGGCCGTGCAAAAATCTGGTGCCACCGTCGGCCTTGTGGGTCTGCCAGCCAATCGAGAAACTCGCACGCGTGGGAAACCTGCCCGCCACCCGCCAACACATGGCCAGACCGCCCAAGGCCGACTCAATGGACTCCACCTCGGGGGCAGGGGTGGCGCCGAGGCCGAGTAGAGAAAGGGCGCGGCTTGCTGTAATACCTGGGTTAGCGCAGCATGAGCCAAATCTCTCCAGGCAGGGGCCACGCCGGCACAGCGCGGCGACGAGATGCCTTTCGGAGCACCCACGCAGCTCTGCGAAGGTCCTTAAGCCCCAGCTCCCCCGCCGAGTGCCGACCCCCCAATCCCTGCGGCGCTAGGCTGGCCCTGGCAGCTAAAACATCATCTAGATTCACTGGCACGGCGGCGAGGCCTCCTTGGTCCCCAGGGAGCCCCAGCGTGGCCGCGAGTTCATCCGCCGATGCAACGTGTCTGCGCACTGCCGATTAAGAGCGACGCTTGGGCCCCGTGCCAGTGCCAGCTAGCCGTCTAGAGAAATGACTGAACGCTTGCTAAATCTCTCTTGCGCCAGGCCTCGTGCATGCTTTCAGTCTGTGTCTTACAGAGCGGGTCCATCTCTTGACCTCCCAGCGGGCGGTTGGTGAGGTCTCTGATCTGCATGTCGTAGTGCTCGTGCGGCTCCGATCGTAGACGGAGGGCAGCACGGGCTCGTAGCAGCTGGCGTCTAAGCCTGTCTGTGTCGAACGAGCTCCGAGCCAGGGGCACGCCGTGCCCTGCCAAAGTGCTTGCGCGCGATGGGTTGGATGGTCTTGAGCAGCACCTCGTAGCCTGCGTCGACCATGTCGTGCTCGAAACAGCCCAAGGAGGACGGGGCCGCGACGGATAGGGTGTCTTTGACCTCCAGCAGGACATCCTCTCGCAGGCCAGGTGTCTGCAGGGCCGTCTCAATCGCGTCGAAGTGCCAAGCCGTGGTGGTGGTCTGCATCTGGAGGCTGGGGATCACCGCGTCAATCTCAAGGAGGACAGGCGAGTGGTCTCTCAGCGAGCCGCGGGAGGGAAACAGCTGCAGCGTCCTGGCCGCTTTGGTCATGGTGACGACCTTGTCAACCCTGGGGAGCGCACCCCGCGGAACCACGAAGTGGTCGATCCACGACGCCGAGCTCTCACCATTGCACGTTGGCGCAATCTTGTGGAAGGTTGTCGCGCAGGCCATGTGATGTGTGTGCATCAGCTCCCTGAGCGCCCTGGCCGCGTAGCCCATGCGCTGCTGCACGTAAGGGCCACAATGCACGCGTAGAGGCTGGACGTCTCGTCGATAGCGAAGGGATCACTCGGGTCCGTGAAGAGCACGGGCGTGGAGCGCTGGGGAGCAGCATCCAGTTGCGCACCAATCCACGCGATGTGAAAGTCTACCGTGCGCCGCCAAGTGGCCTGGCCAGGCCGAGGGCCTGGCGGCGGGAAGTACACGGCCAGGATGGTGAGGTCGAGCGTGTCCGTGATGACCCGCAGGGCCCCCGCCCTGCCCCCGGCCGCGGGCGGGCCAGGAGTCACCCCGTGCACCCCGGCGCCGAGGTCGCGCAGCCTGACGCCGATGGTGACACCCGCCGCGCAGTCGGTGAAGGGGCCCCTGCCGTAACCAAAGTGATAGTAGTCGTGATCCCCGGAGGACGAAGAGGGAGGAGGAGGAGGAGGAGGAGGAGGAGGAGGAGGAGGAGGAGGAGGAGGAGGAGGAGGAGCATGAAGAGGAGGCGGACGGAGGAGGAGGAGGAGGAGGAGGAGGAGGGAGGAGGAGGAGAGGAGGAGGAGGAGGAGGAGGGAGGAGGAGGAGGAGGAGGGGGGACGAGGGTGTGTGACGTTCGGTCGGTCTGTCTGCTTCGCAGTCGGCGGCGCTCGGTCGGTTCGGTTCGGTCGGCTGCTGTGCCGCTGCTGCGTCGCTGCGCCCTTCTGGGCTTCCTGCGGTCTGCCGCTTCCAGTCGTTTTGTGTTCCCCTTCGCTGCCTGTCCGGCCGATAATCGGTTGCGTCATCGCCATGGGCGGTCTTGGAGGAGTACGGGGTAGGGAGCAGGGAAGTCGGAGGAGGAAGAAGAGGAGGAGGAGGAGGACGAGGATGAGGATGAGGAGGAGGAGGAGGAGGAGGAGGAGGAGGAGGAGGAGAAGGAGGAGGAGGAGGAGAAGGAGGACGAGGATGAGGTCGGAAGTGGCCGTAGCGCAGACGCTGTACCCGTCTGATGCAATAGCTCTCTCCTCGAGAGCCGAGGGCTAGCACGCATCCCGCGCGCCGAGACGAGGAGGGAGTAGGGAGGAGGGAGGAGGGAGGGAAGAGGGAGGATGGAGGAGGGAGGAGAGAGGGAGGAGGGAATGAAGATGAGGAGGAGGAGGAGGAGGAGGAGGAGGCGGAGGAGCTTCGAGAGCTTCGGATTTGGCGACTAGGTCGCTTGGGAAATTACTTCGTGGACGAAGCTCTCTTGGCCTTCTCAGCTGTGCTAGCAGCTTTAGGCCAGAGACCCCGCGATATTCGATCTAGATCATCGTGTGGATTACCTACTGCTCGCCTTTCACATGGCCTTGCTAGCTCTTTGAGCTGTTTGGCGGCATACCACCCGCAAACAGAACAGAACCAGACCCCCAGACCCATGTGATAGCGGACCCTATGACTCTCATCTGGAAAACCCCTTGCTACATGTACCTGCCGCCCAGGAGGGAGTTCAAACATCAAACAGAGTCCCGTCGGTGCTAACTAGCTCAAAACACGTAGCACGACGCCAGTCCAACCGCTTGGCATGAGTGGTCGACCTCTGGCATCCAATCCACTTGCGGTCGCACACATCAGTGATGGAGTGGCTGGACGCGAACAGACTACAAGCCTTGAGCGCTGGAGGTCTCACTTTGGCCTGGCGGAGAACCTTGGCACCTTTTTCCTGCCTCTGCTCGACGTTCACAGCTTCAAGGGTACTCTGGAGGAGCCTCATTCTGACAAAGAATGCTTTGAACTCAACCTCCTTCATTTTTGCACTATACACTGCAGGCACGCGAGCTGTCTCCGCTCCTGCGCCTGCGAACTCGTCGGCCATGGTGTTACCTACCACAAGCATGAGCGGGGCTTTGCCAGCCCGAACGTCCTCCGCCTGCAAGTGGGAGTGGATGAAGAGGACGGTGCACACGTGCTCGCCGCGCTTCTTGACCCAGGAGCCGATCTCGATCCACAGGTCGCTGTCGGGACCCTCGGGCGTGGCGTACCGATTTGCGTACCAGCCGAGGATCACGCTCTCGTTGTCCGTCGCAAATACGAAGTGGCCGCGGCAAGCTCTGAGCGCTAAGCATAACGCCATCAGCTCGCCTCTGGCCACGGTCTGCCTGCTTCCTGGGAGTCCCTCCCACACCCCCAGGGTCAGGAGGAGGAGGAGGAGGAGGAGGAGGAGGGAGAGGAGGGTGTGGACGAGGGAGAATAACATTTGAAGGCAACGAGACGGGGCGGGGAGCGAGCCGCTGGAAGGGGGGGGTAGCGAGGTCGGCCTCAGCGGCCTCATGTGGCGGACGTCGCCCCTCACCTGCCTCATGCTCTGGTCCTACGCGCTCCTCGGCACCCACGCGTCGCGGCAGGCCGCCCGCCGCCCGCCGCCGCCGCCGCCGCCGCCGCCGCCGTCGTCGTCGTCGTCGTCGTCGTCGTCGCCGTCGTCGTCGTCGTCGTCGTCGTCGTCGTCGTCGTCGTCGTCGTCGTCGTCGGCATCAATGTTTTTTACGGAGGTCATTGTCTCTGAGGGTCGGGGTCTCGTGAACCAGCTCAGGTCGGCCACCTCTCACGGCTGGCCTCCGCTCCACATGCCTCAATCCACAAATCTCCCCTCTGAAAGTGTGCCGGCCCTGGGCGTCGGTGCCGCCGATCCGACATGGCAAACTCTCACGATCCATCACACTGCCGTTAGGCATCCTGTGGCTGTGCCGGCTTATCAGCGGTGAGCCAGCAGAATCGACTACAAGAGTGAATCTTCGCCGGAGTGACCTTTGGTGCCGTCTTACCTGGGTCCCCCCCGATCGCTGAGCGCGATGCGATAGTGGCTGCTTGCAAGCTTCGACTTGGCCACCCTGCGCCCCCTCAATCCGCGCACGAGAGGTCACTCTTGCCTAAGATCACTCCTGCGTGTAGCCGATGCTGTCCCCAGGGGGGGGGGACGGAAGCAGGGGGGGAGGGAAGGAGGGAGGAGCGACCTGCCCTGCTACGAGTGCCCTGGCCGCCCCGCAGCCGCACTGGCCTAGGGAGGAGGGGGAGGAGGGGGACGAGGAGGAGGAGGAGGAGGAGGAGGAGGAGGAGGAGGAGGTTTTTTTGCTGCTGTGTCTTTTGCTTGTTGTTGTTGCTATATGCTTTTGTTGCTTTGCTTCTGATTGGTGTGTTGTTGTTTGCTTTTTGGGTGTTGTACGAGTGCCCTGGCCGCCCGCAGGCCGCACTGCGCTAGGGAGTGAGGGGGGGAGGAGGGGGACGAGGAGAGGAGGAGGAGGAGAGAGGAGGTGGAGGGGAGGAGGAGAGGAGGAGGGAGGAGGAGGAGGGGGAGGGGGAGGAGGAGGAGGAGGAGGAGGAGGAAGAGGGCGAGGAGGAGGAGGAGGAGGAGGAGGAGGAGGAGGTGGAGGAGGAGAGGGAGGAGGGAGGAGGGGGAGGGAGGAGGGGAGGTGGGAGGAGGGGAGGGGGACGGGGGGAGGTAGGGAGGAGGAGGAGGAGGAGGAGGAGGAGGGGAGGAGGAGGTGGAGGTAGTGAGGAGGAGGAGGAGGAGGAGGACGGAGGAGGAGGAGGAGGAGGAGGAGGAGGAGGAGGAGGAGGAGGAGGAGGTGGAGGAGGAGGAGGAGGAGGAGGAGGAGGGAGGAGGAGGAGGAGGAGGAGGGGGGGGGGGGGAGGAGGAGGTAGGTGGAGGAGGAGGAGGAGGAGGAGAGGAGGAGGAGGGAGGAGGATGGAGGAGGTGGAGGAGGTGGAGGTGGGGAGGAGGAGAGAGGAGGAGGATGAGGAGACGGAGGAGGAGGAGGAGGAGGAGGAGGAGGAGGAGCGGAGGAGGAGAGGAGGAGGAGGAGAAGGAGGGGAGGAGGAGGAGGAAGGAAGGGGGGGGAGGAGGAGGAGGAGGGGAGGAGAGGAGGAGGAGGAGGAGGAGGATTCCGGCAGCCATCTTTGGCTCATAGTCCGTACCATCGCTCTCGGACCGAGGACTTTTCTGTTCGGTCCTCTTCCACCCTGCCAGTGATCCTGCGATCTCTCTTTCATTCGTTTCGCTCACAGCCTACAGTCTGGCTGCTGTAAGTTCTGCGGCCGTCAGGTCCCATGGGGCGCAATGGCGGCGGCAGGCAGCAGGCGTTCAGTGCGACCTGGACCTGCTGCAACAAGAAGTGCGGCTTCGGCAACAATTTCCCATGGCGTACGACGTGCTGGGCTTGTGGCAAGCCCAAAGGAGCGGTCCCTGCACCGGCGGTGCCGCGCCCTCCTGCTGGTGCTTGGGTCCGTCCTCCTCGGCTGCAGCCACAAGGAGGCTCACCTGGTGCTGGGCAAGGGCCTGGCGCAAGCGGCGGCAAGCTCACCCCTGAGCGCAAGGACGCATTGCTTGCCATGTCCGCCGAGCACTTCGAGGCCTGCAGCATCTGGCTGTCGCCTGGTCAGAAGGCGCACTTGCTGGGGCTGCGAGCCGAGCAGACAGGCGACCCGCTGGCCCTCAGTCGACAGGCCAAGCAGCAGCACGACACGCTCAAAGATCAGGTCGCCAAGGCCAAGAACGCCTGGGAGAAGTCTCAGGAGTTGCTGGCCAAGCAGCTGCAGAAGACGGCGGAGCTCAAGGCGAAGTTCATGGAGCTTGAGGCCAAGGAGCTCGAGGCGGCCCGCGCTGCTGCCAGCGCTTTCTCCGAGCTCGGGCGTGCTTCCAGGCCTCAGCCTGCTGACCATGCTGCATACCTTGTGGAGCAGCTGCGTGAGCTGGGGGTCGAGGCGGGCGTGGTCGACTCGATCAAGCAGGTCGCAGAGGCACGCCAGAAGGCCAAGAAGGATGAGGAGGAAGCGGCGGCTGCTAAAGCTCGTGCTGAGGCGGCAGATCGTCATCATGATGAGCGTGATGCTGGTGGTGCTGCTGCTGATACCAGCGACGCTGCAGGCGATCACGACCTCGACATGGATGCAGCCATCGGCAACCTCAAGCAGGGCGACTGGATGGACAAGCTCGTCAGCTCTGCTGGTGAGAGCGGCATCACTCGATCGCAGCTGGAGGCTGCGCTCGATGAGGCTGGTGCTGATTTCAAACGCAAGCGCCTTTAGCCGTGCGGCTAGATGCGCAATGGGGCCAAAGGCCCCGAGGTTTTGGAATATTGTCTCTGCCAATTACTGATCGCTCTGGGCTTGACATTTTCCTCTCCTCCCCTTCTGTGCTCCAGGCTCAGCTGGTCGGTGTGCAGGAAACGCGGGTGTTGGAGGTTGAAGCTTGTGAGCATAAACTCAGGCGACAAGGGTGGAGAGCCAAACTTTCGCCAGCCCGTCAGACGGCTGGAGGCGGCATATCTGCTGGCATCATGCTTGCTGTGCCAAAGCATATCGGCCTGGCGCCGATTGAGAGCTTTCCGATCGACGTGCAGGTGGGGAGGATGATGGTTATGCATGTGGGAGGTCTCGTACCTGGGGGTTTCCTAGCGTGCACGCTCTATCTGCATCACTCTGTCGAACTTGCGCCAGCCAACTGGGATCTTCTCTGCAGGCTAGGCGCGCTGCTGAAAATGGCCAACATGCCGTTCCTCATCTTCGGGGACTTTAATCTCGAGCCCGACGTGCTCCAGCATTCAGGCTGGATTGATGCAATCGACGGTGCTGCCATATACACGGATGCTGGAACTTGTGCTCCAGCGCACAGGACCATCGATTTTTTCGTTGTCTCCCAGGCGTTTGCGGCGAACGCCTCGGTCTCACTGTTGGCAGAAGTGGAGATCACTCCACATATTCCAGTTAAGTTGAAGTTACCCACCTTGGACACTGTACCTTCGGTGCGCATGGCTATGGTTCCCCGCAGGTTCCCCAGAGAGTTGCCCATTGGTTGCCGTGGAGAGCCCAACTTAGCCAGGTGGGAGGTGGCGTCGGAGATGATGAGCAATGCTAGCATATCTAAGTCGTGGCAAGTTTTCGTCTCGGCTGCCGAGCTTGAATGGTTAGAGGTGTATCAGATTCCCGCTGAGCTTTCGAAACCGTACCTTGGGCGTGGTGGTGATGTTCGTACTGGGTGGTGTCGACCGAGCCGGCCTGCTCCAGTTCCTTTTCCACGTCTGAGCCCTCAAGCTGTGTGGTGGAGAGCTTTGGCCCAGGTCCTCAAGACCCTCACGAGGCCCATCAGCGTTGCCCAGACCAAGCAAGTGCGGTGCAGGATCCGACATCTTCAGAGCTCGCCAGATGTTCCAGATTCGAATCTCGCGGTTTGTTTCCTGGAGGCCCTTGATCGGTTTCGCGTCTTTGATTACGTAGTCATGGACTATTTCGCCGCCGTCGCCAGCGACACTGCCGAGTGCCTGCACAAGCAGGCAACCCAGCTGAAGATAGTCAACTGGGACCGATGGGTTAAAACGCACTCGGTAGGTGGGGCTGCGGCGCTCTTCAAGTATGTGCAGCTGCCTGACCCTTGGCAGCCGTCCACCCTCGACTCCTTCACCCTCCGTCCCAACTCCAGCATGGGGGAAATGGATGAACTTGAAAGGGAGTGGAGCAAGTGGTGGCAGGTGGGGGTCGCGCAGCCCCCCGTGCACTGGCCAGAGGATCTCGGAGAGCGCCCGCCTCCCCCCACGGTCCCAGAGCTCTAGAAAGTGTTGATGTCCTTCCCGCTAGGCACTGGTTGTGGATACGACCAGGTCCCGCCTAGGAGTTTTCTGCACTTGCCCGACGTTGCGCTCGAGCTTCTGTGCGGCCTCATCGGGAAGATTGTGGAGCAGGCGGACTGGCCTCCCCTCACGAACAAGATTGTTTTTATTCTCAAAAGATTGGGAGGAGTCCGACCTTTGGGGCTGTTACACGTTCTCTGTCGGGTGCAGTCCAGGCTGAGAAGGCCTTTGATCAGGCAATGGCAAGTCAAAAACTATCGGAGTTTCTGGTGGGGTACTAAAGGAAAAAGCGCTGACATGTGTGTGTACATTCAGGCAGTGTGGGCGGAGTATTATCAGTCCAAGGGCCTGTCATCTGCTACGTTGCTGCTCGATTTGAAGAAAGCCTTTGAACTGGTCAAGCATCACCATCTTGTCCAGGCGGCCACTCGCACTGGATTTCCGTTGTGGCAACTGCGTTTGCTTGTGCAAGTCTATCGGTCGCCCCGCCTGCTTGATCTCCAAGGGACTGTCAGTAATCACATCACGGCGGAAACTACGATTATCCCTGGGTGTGGGTTTGCTACTGTTTTGCTGCAACTGGTTTTGCTGGGCCCCCTGGATGTTGTTCAGAAAGAGTTTCGGGCCATCTGTCTTTCCGTGGTTGTCGACGATTTTGCGTTGCAGAGATCGGGGGAACACGGCCGAGTAGTTGCTGATGTAGTTGGCGCTGGAGTGAAGCTTCAGTGCGAGCTTCAGCGTGTGGATCTACGGCTCGCTCTTGACAAGACGCGAGTTCTTGCTAGTGATTCTGATTTACGTGACCAGCTGTCCAGGAGGCTGGTATCGCTTAGGGCCCAGGGCGTGAACCATGAACGCAACCTGGGGGTTGACTACAGTTCAGGTCGGTTTCTCAGGAGGGCCACCAGGACGGGCAGAATCAAGGTCGCCAAACCCAAGCTCAAGAGAATGAAACATCTCCAGGGAGGCATGGCCAGGCGGAAAACCATGGCCATCATGGCCAGGGCGGCCCTGGAGACTTCGGTTGCTTTTGGGACCTCCGTTCAGGGTGCTGCCTCTAAGGAGCTGGACGTATTGCGATCCCAGGCCGCTGCGGCGCTCGACGCCAAGACCAGCGGCAAGAGCCGCACTCTCGCTCTCGCGCTCGCGCCGCAGGCCAACTACGACCCGATTTGGAGAGCAACTCTGGAGCCTATCAAAGCTTTCAGCTCTGTTCTTTGGGCGGCGCGCGTGCCATGTCATGTATTAGAGCATGGCCTTGAGGCCGCTAGATTGGCGTTGTCTGGGAAGGACCAAATGTGGCCGCAAGTTCGGGGCCCCCTGGGAGCCCTCTTCGCTACGCTCGCCAGAGTCGGGATCGTCGTCGTTGAGCCCCTGGTCTGGAAGTTGCCTGACGGTCTGGAGCTGAAACTCAAGTACATTTGCCCCAGGGTCCTGCTGCACTGCTGTGCGCATGCGGTGCGCCACTGGGTTAACCTGCAGATTTCGGAGCACCTCCAGATGCCCGAGTTCCGTACTGGGTTCTGGGATGGGCCTCTGAAGCACCTCCTGAGCGCCAAGGGGAACCTCACTTGGCAGCAGCGTGGCTACCTCAGGAGTGCTATCATTGGAGCTCAGTGGCCCCAAGATCGGCAATTTCAACAAGGATGGATTGACTCCCCGAGTTGCCTTGCATGCCATGAGGCCCTTGGGTCCCTCGTGCATCGGCACGCTGTTTGCAAGAGCATGCTTGAGGCAATAGGAGAGCCACTCCCTGATGCAATCAGACTCATGCTCCCGCATGCGGACCAGAATGACCTGGTGCGCCTGTTGCTGGAGCGTGTGCTCGTCCCGCTCCCCAAGGCCCCTCAGGCAGTGCTGCTGACGCCGTCGGAGCCCTGTGTGGAATGGCACGGGGATGCGCAACAGCTCACAGGGGATCTTTATCTTGATGGCTCACTGTTTACTGATTATCCACATCGCGGGACTGCTGCATGGGCAGTTGTTGCGCTGGCCGCCGGCACTGACACGGCTGTCTGCACCATCACAGGTCTCCTGCCCTACCCGCTGCAGGACATAGACGGTGCCGAGCTGTATGCCCTGTTCGCAGTGCTCAGATTCGCGGTGCCACCTGTTGTCGTGCACACGGATTCCGATTTCGTTTGGAAAGGCTACAATATCCGCGGACCTGCTGACACCACGTCGGCGTCGGCGGCTTGGGCCTGTCTTTGGAAGCTCGTATGGCACAAAGTCGATGACAGGGGGGGTACCCCCCCTGAGGTAAAGAAAGTGAAAGCCCACGTGACAGACTTTCTGGTTGCGGAGGGGAGGTATAAGCTTAGAGACAAACTTGGAAATGATGCCGCCGACGGTGCTGCGAACAGTCGTGCTCGTGTCCTGCGGCCCGATCCCCAGTTTCAGAAGCTTACGTTGATGCAGAAGAGACTGGTCAGTCTTACGGGGAAATGGGCCGCCAGGGCGGGTGAGGCCATTGCATCTGTAGACTGTTTGCACCGCCAGCGCTCTGCACGTTCAGCCCCCTCCCTACTCATTGTCAAGCCAGAGCCGCCCACCTTAGAGCAAAGGATCCAGCAGGCTCAGGTTTCTCTGAAGGCCGCTGGGTCCAAGCATCATCGTGTGGCCTCGCTGTTCGTGGGCGAAACCCAGGTTTTTTGTTGCACTCACTGCGCTGCATGCACCACCCAGCGCGTGGTGTCTCTTGCGAGTGAGTGCCAGCCCCGTCATCTTTCGAAGGATCGTCGCCTTATCCTGGAACGATTGAGACGGGGCGAGTACTGTTTAGCCAAGAGCGTTCTGAGGTATGCAGGTTATCGCCTGCTCCCAGAGCCCTAATCCTTGTCAATGGCTACCCAACGGGGGGCGCGGTGCGAGTGGGGACTGCCCGGCGGTGCGCCGTTAGTGACCCTCGCACCGTTGCTCCCCGGCCCCGCGCACGGCGCGGAGTGTGTCCGATGGGCGCGGCTAATGGCGGTTGCAAGGTGCGCCCCTAGCCGCGTTCGAGGTCCTGCTGAGGCACCATAGACTCTGTGGCGCCCCAGGCTGTGCCCAGGAGGAGGAGGAGGAGGAGGAGGAGGAGGAGGAGGAGGAGGTGGGGGAGGTTGGGGAGGAGGAGGTGGAGGTGGAGGTGGTGGAGGAGGTGG